ACAGGGAATGGTCTAATCTCTCGCGTTCGCTCTTATAACCCACGAAAAGAGCATCAATCAAGGATAAAGCCCCCGGCTTGATACATTCACCAAGATCCCTTCGTAACTGGGCTCAACCGCAGCCCAAACCAATTGATTACAGACAACCCAATCACTATTTAAAAAAAAAAAAAGGCAAAGAAAGAAAGAAAATAAAAGTCATTACTGGAGTTGAAAAAAAAAAGAAAGAAAATAAAAGAGTTGGCAAAGTACGCAATAGCGGGGAGTGGGTGTACTCCATGTAAGCGGCAAGGAGGGAGAGGAAAGGAAGCCGGACACAAAAAACACTACTACAGTAGCATTTTCGTTATTTTTCCCGCCTGGACCAACATTTTCCCGGCCCGACCACCCCATAACCCTAACCCCCCCACCCCCCAAGCCCCCCAAATCATGGGAACCAAGCATCAGTCCTCCTCCGATCCGATTTCCGACCCCAAGAAGAAACGACGGGTTGGATTCTCCAAAATCGGTGAGTCATTCACTTCCAATTTGGCTTTCTTTACTTTCCTTTTTGTTCCTTCCCTAATTATTTTCTGTATTTTTTACTTTGTTTTGCTGCAAAAATGTTGTTGCAGATGCTGGTGTTGAAGCCAACGAGTGCATCAAAATATATCTTGGCACGGTTTTGTCATTTTTAATTTATCTCGGCAGAAAATTTAGAGCCCTGCTCATGACGTTCACTATTTCGCATTATTTGGACCCTTTTCTGAAGTAAACTGATTTTTAGCGTCTTTTTTTTTTTTTTAATAAAAAATCTTATTTGAAGTGAGCTTTAACTTTTTGGGGCCAGAAAACTCTGGAGTTTTCTTTCATAAGAATATTTGTGAGCTTGGCACTTTATTTTATAGTTGATATTGGCCGGGCAAAATGTAGTAGTAATTTTGCTGCTATTTTTCGTAAAATTGTTACTGGGAAGCTGCGATTGGTTTATGGAAGGTGACCATCGTGCAGCTTGTTTGACAGCTCACCTGAAATTTGATTGGGCTTGTTCGTGTACCTAAAATCATTCGGCAATTGGAAAATATGGCTGTTTGAAAATTAGGCTAACAAGAATAACTTTACAAAGAAGATGGGGACTGCAGGGTTGACACATTCAGTGAAGAGTAAAAAATATAAAATTGTGACCAAGTGTTTTGGGGGAAATATTTCAAGGCAGACAGGAAAAATATGAAGAACAGATGCAATCAATGAGAATAAATGGTCCAGAATTAGAGTTTTTTTTTAAAAAAAAATTTGTTATTTAAAAGTTAAGTTCGTTTGCTTATTCACTTTTAATCTTTTACTCCTACAAGAGAGGCAATTCGCAAGCTTAACTTCCTGTCATCTGTTTTTTCTTACTCATCTATAGTCTCTAGCAAAGAAGAAGTGGGTTCTCCAGACAGTTTCTGTATAAAACCGGTTGACTTGAATCATTTCTTTGAAGAGGATGGGAAGATTTATGGTTATCAAAATTTGAAGGTGAAATTTCTCCGCCTTCATGGATGTCATTTCTGTACTTTTTGACTGTTAGTATCTCCTCTGTGCAAAGTTCTTCCCTCAAGTTCTATGATAAGTAGCATTTTCATCTTTGCTTACTTTCTTTCCAATTTGCTCGTGTATGGCTAGTTGGTGTATGTCATCTTACTCATATACTGCACTTATTTACAGAATATGGTTCCCCTGTTGACATACATTGATTTAGTCTGTTTGATGGTGACTTTTAGCATACAGCATCCGTGTATGGTTATAGACTGTTTTAAGGACAATTGGCCATGATTATCTGAAGTATTCCTTTGGAAGGACTGGTTTGTTAAACATAAACAACGTCTAACCAAAAGATAATAATTAACAAGGACATTGAAGTAATGTTTTTATTTATGAGAACATGATTCAAGTATTTGAATATTTATCTGGTCAAATTGATTTTCAAAAACTCTTATATGTGGTTGATTGCACAATTTCAAAGGGGCAAATCCACTTCATGTGCGTCAATGTTGTTCTTTGCCTGTCGCTCTTTATTGGGCCTAATGCTGTTCTTATTATTTATGCAGATTACCATATGGGTTAGCAGCATTTCATTTCATGCATATGCTGATATTTCTTTTGAGAGCACAGAAGATGTAAGTGTCTACTCTACTTGGGATTCATGATAGGGGATGCTAACAAGGCAGAATTGCTCTTTATCTTATCTCTCAAACTTAGGGGCCATTTACATAAGCTTTCATGATTAGAAGATATGCACATAATATCTTGCAGTCAAGTATGAATACTGTTGATTTTGTTGAGATACAAGTAGGATTGTACGTCAGATATAACTGTCTAGGGAAGGATTTCTTTCTGTTGTTCCTGTACCTGTTTTTCTTTCAATCTCTCTCTTGGTTACAATGTCCTTCTGACAGTTGTTCAATTATACTTTTTAGTGCTTGTTAGTGATGGAATTTGAGTTGATATTTCATGCTAAATTGTAACACTAATATGTCCAAATGAAGGGTTAAAGTGTGAATCTTCCTTGATGAATATTTTTCAGTTTTGATCCTTCATTATTCATTTAGTGATTTGTGCGTACTGTTTGTTACAAGGGAGGCAAGGGGATCACAGATCTCAAAGCTGCTCTTCAGGTAATATTAGCAATCAATATTTACAACTAAACTGTTATTCCTTGTTTATTCACATGCTCATCTAACCTTTTGATTGTGATCCTACTTTCATTTCTCATAGAATGTTTTTGCTGAAAATCTTGTTGAGAAAAAAGACGAGTTCCTAGATAAATTTTCAAGTGATCGCCAATATGTTAAGTAAGTCCTATTAGTGCCAATCCTACAACCTCTGCAGTCTCATATGTTAAGTAGATATATTTTGAAATACTTCTGTTGAGTTTCCGAGTTCTACTTCCATGCAGATCTGTTATCTCAACTGGGGCAGCACTGAAATTAACAGCTGCCAATGGACACAATGGTGATTCTAAATTCGACCCTAAAGAAGACACAGCAGATTTGGAGGTTTGTACTATGTTATAGTTCAAAAAACAGGGACCATTCTGGTCATTTGCGTGCTATATTGTCTGCTTTGTCACAGGTGCATTCTATTGGCAATATTGTAAAGATGTCAGAGAATGTGTCCTTTGCTTTAAGAGTAATAATCTGGTTGTCTGAATCTGTTTTCTAGTCGCTGGTTGTAATTCCAGGTGCACAATCTTATAGCAAATCATCTTCATAGGTGAAAGGAAGGTTGTCTTGGAATTCATAGTCATTCATTTCTAATAAGGCATTAGATGGTCTAACTCTTAAAAATTTTCAATTCTTTGGATCACTAATTGTTAATTACATGTACTTGCCTAGAAGAGGTGCAACATAGAATTCACCCATTTTCTGGAAAATGCTAAGAATTGATCTGGATTGCAGTTATTTCGGATTATTTGTTAAAAAATACTGTAGCACTTTTTAAAGATGTGATGTTTTTGAGGTAAAAAAGTGATAGAAAAATGTGATAAGGAATATTCTCACGGAAACCCAGAAAAAAATTTTTTTTTTTGCCAAAATTGCAATCCAAACGAGGCGGTTTGTTTCTAAACTTGTTTTTTGAGAGAGGGAGAGAGAGATTAATATGATAGATATTTGTGTTTCTTATTTAGGTGTTCCGCATTGTTGGTGAACCTGTGGGGCACCTTTACAGTCGCCTAGTACCATTCGTCCTTCTTCTCATAGATGGTAAGTTTTATTCATCTGATTGAGATTTTGGCACTTGAACTACAGCTTAAATCTTTTAAATGGTGCCAACTTTGAACAGGTAGCAATCCCATTGATGTTACTGATCCCAGATGGGAAATATACGTAATGGTTGAGAAAGCAATTGCTCATCAGGAGGATAGTCATCCTAATTTGATTGGGTTTGCAGCTGTTTATCGTTTCTATCGATATCCAGAGAGCATGCGCTTGCGTCTTGGACAGGTTTGCTTGAGTTTTTTTTTTTTTTTTTTTTTTATGTGCATATTCAAATTACCAACCTAGCTTTGTATGAATTTTAGATGTACTTTGGACTTGAGTCTCTTATATCTTCTAGATGGTATGTGATCTTTGTTGATGGCAGGTATTGGTATTACCACCTTATCAGCGCAAAGGTTATGGTGGTAGCCTCCTCAAGGTGCTTAACAACGTTGCAGTATCTGAAGCTGTTTATGACCTGACTGTTGAAGAGCCAGAAGACTCCCTTCAACATGTTCGGACATTGATTGATGTGCAATGCCTGCTTGTTTTCGGTCCAATCCAGGCTGCCCTTAATTCTGTTGTGGCACGTCTGAAACAGGAAAACTTTTCGAAGAAAGTTCACTCCTGCCAATGTGGTCCACCTTTGAGTGCTGTTGAAGATGTGAGGAAGAGTTTGAAAATCAATAGAAGACAATTTTTGCAGTGCTGGGAGGTTCTCCTCTATCTTGGCCTAGATCCGATTGAGAAGTACCTGGAGACTTATCGTACAATTGTTTCATCTAGAATAAAGGCAGATGTGATCGGTAAAGATTCTGAAGGCGTTGGGAAACGGGTTATTGATGTGCCAACTGAATATGATCAAGAAGCATCATTTGTTATGTACAAGTCACTGAATGGTGATGCAACAAACAGGGAGATGGCTGAGAACCGGAGTAATCAAGAGGAACAGCTGCGGCAACTGGTGGATGAAAGGATGAAAGAAATAAAGTTAATTGCAGAGAAAGTATCATCCTTGAAGCATAGATGAGGAGCAGTCCTGTTGTACCTGTCGTTCAAGCTATGATTTATCAAATATCTGGAGCCCTGAGATTTTCGTCACACGGTTCGTTGTGGGTACATAACTACATAGATTTGAGTGACCTGTACCTGTGCCAAAATTAGATTAGTTTACAATTAGGATGTTAAGATTAGTGCTGCAGCACCTGCTGTCTTCTGTACTTTCTGATATTTGACCCAGGTGAAAAATGTTATTCAGCATCTAATTTGGCACTCATGACATCATATCCAAGTTTTATTAGTGAGACATTTCACTTGGAAAAACAAATGTGTTGCGAGTTTGTACATGCCAAATTAGCTAATCAAGCACATGAATGGCATGGGCCCGCAACTAATTGTAGTCTGGTTGCAATATGAACTTCTGGGCTTCACTGCAGGTGAGAAGTAAATAAGTAAGAAAACATTTTCTTTTAAGAAAAATTGTTGAAATACAGCTTTCAATTTGTGGCTTCTAGTTTTTGTCATCTTGCTCCCATCATCCCCCGTTGAAACTCGCTTGGTATGTTCCCAGTGATTCATCAATAAGAATGAGGAACGCAAATTAGCTGCCATGACAAGCGGTTCATCAAATTCACTTGCTTTTCCACCTTGACATGCATTCATCGAGTTCAGCTGAAATATATCCTTCAAAAGCAATCTCAAATCCAGGAAACCATTTTTAATCTGTCATCTGGGACCCAGTTCATTTCTTCACTAGGCTGAGAAATATCGGAAATTGTGCAAGGCAAGAGTGTCGCTGCTCAAATTTTGTGTACGCTGAACCCTGCATCCTCTGATGTCAAGTTTTCTCTCCAATTCTCGAATTCAGACCCGCCGAACACCACTTGCTTGATCCCGACGTAGCTGTTTGAAACGATACAGGTGATATCAACCATCCATTTCATACAAAGAAGGCAAGGTATTCGATCTGAGCTTTTGTACGAAAAATGCAGAAACTTTCCATTTTACGTAACCAAAAACAGGATGGATCCTTTAAAGTAACTGAAATTGTGACCGAGACAAGAGTGATGGAGGGTAGACATTCCATAAGAGAAACAAAGGACGTTCAGACATGACGTGGGGTGGAGCTTACTCAGAGCTTATCTGTGTCAAAGCATTAATCAAAACATCCAGAAGCAATGGTTCGCTAGTCCCAATGTCTACCCTGTCACAAGCAAATTAAACAAAATGAGCGATGAGCGCTATGACTCTCGGATCAGAGCCAGGGAATGAGATTTATAAACAGAAACGTATACCATATACGGGCTATGTTATCTTGAATCTCAAGATCTCCGATGTTATAAAATGTGGTTGGTGTGACGTTGGCTCCCTGAACGGCATCATAACTTGGTCTTTTATCCGAAGCAGATTGTGACAGCTGTAAGAAGCAGTACAAGTTTTAATAAAATTCTTAACACTGACCTTTTATCGCAAGACTGGTTCTCAATTAATCCATGACTTAAAGACGCAGCTCTATTTCGGTTCTTAGACTGTTGGAATGCGAAGCTTTAAACTAATTTTCACGCTAATCATGACTGTAGAAGGGATGGTTTATAGGCACGCACTTGCATATTCATTGAATTGCATCCTCCCAGTCGTCCAACAATGTGCCATGACCGAATAGTCTGCAGATTAATCCAGTCAGCTATGTAGCACTCGCAGAAAGGAGATGTCATTGCCAGGTATTCAGGGAGTAAAACTTACATCACATATCAAGGAAACATCTTTCTCCAGAAGGGCATTATAGAACTCAAACCATATATATGAATTTGAGAACTCAAATCTGAAAACAGAATACAAATGTTAACCGATGAAAATGCACATTTCTGAAAATATCCTACAGAAAAATAAGGGGATGAAAAAACAATTAAGGATGGAATGGTGTTCTTTTATTTTATTATTATTATTTTTTTGCACTCTTAATTGGTTGCAAAGTGAATCCTCCAAAGTCACCTGTAGCAGTACACAAACTAAATCCATAGAGTAAAACATTCACTCTGTCCCACCACCCTAAGAAATCCAATGACAATCCAATTCTATTTAGCAAAAGATGGAGAATACAGTATTCCATTTGTAAGTGTTCTAGCACCTTGCTGATCATGACTAGGGATTCTATATCCTTAGCTAGTAGCCTTTCCTCTTGGACTGGTAAAGGTTTTTGTTTTCCCAACTAGACTCAATTCAGATTCTCCACAACATACACAGAAAATCTGCATATCACAAATATAAAAAACCAAGGTTGTTCATGTGCTGTTTCCCTTTTTCCAGGAGATTTCAGCCAGGTCCTCACCCACTGAGATACAAGGCATTCCAGGAATAGTATGAGATAACCATCAGAAAAGAATTGAAAAGCAACTCCAGCGCAGTAAGATAAATATGTAATATTCAGCAGACTTAGTGACAATCAAATTTTCAAAAACAGCCACTGTTGTCGGGGAATATTCCAGTGCGTACAGATAAAAGTGGAACTGGAACACTTCTCGTCTTCAATAGCATTACAAGACTGTTATTCTGTCTCTCTTGGCGTTAGCCGTGCAAATGGAGACTCTTTCATTTAACATGATCAATCTCGAGTGTTGATTTGCAATTGTGAGTACAACCAGAGTTGATTGGGTCGCCAAGAAGTCTTAGCATGCAGGCGACTTAGATGCATTACAATCCAAGTTTAGAGTTCCAAATTTAACATGGACATAATTCACCATATAATGCCATTTCTACACAGTGCAGGTAAATGTCCTTAGCTACATGGGCAGGGGTAGAGAGGAGCTAGCTGCTTGCGTAGAAAGGCCCATGATGACAAATGTCAATCATACGAAGCAAACAATCGTTTAAACAGAAGGCCATTACGTGAAATTTGATAAACATGCCATTGAACTTACTTGTTGAATACCACTTTCATGGGGGCTGCTGAACCAGTTTTTGTATGTAATATTCTGTTTCTTTTCTTTCTCAATCTGTCCTCCATCTGACATCGCAGTTAACCACATCAATCAGCAGTCATAACCCCATTTTTCTTGGTCTTTTTGTGGCGCACAAACACACATATAAACCGGGCAGGTAGACAGTAGTGAACCTTCAATAGATAAACAAGGAAAGAAAGAAAGACAAACTCTCTACAAAAAAATTAAAAGAACTTACTTTAGACCTAGCTTTATCTGGGTTATCAAGAAAACTCCCAAGAATCTCAGCAAACTCAGGGTCTCTATCATAATCTTTCTCCTCTTCTCTCCCTCTAAAGCCTCTTCCACTCGAAAACTGACCCTCATCCCCACCATCATCATCATCATCGTCATCATTCTCATAATAGTTGTCTGCATCATTGTCTTGCAGGTTATTCGTTTCGAGCCCATAGTTTTCGGTCGCCTTAGTGAAGAGTGCAAAATTCCTCTTGTGGAAATGGTATTGACGTGGAACTCCAGCTGTTAAAAATGGCGGGCAGTCATTAGGTTGATGGGATAATGTTTGGGGTGGTGAAAGGTGGAGCAATTGGACGGAAGGGGTGCAGGGGTTTAAGACGAACATTGGGCTTTGGATGGTGGGTTGAAGGGTTCTGGGAGGAAGGTACCAAAAACTCCGAGCTGTGTGTGAGTCAGGGAGGCTGTCTTTGCAATTTGCAGCAATTGAATCGCAAGAGCACCGAGTTCTAAGCCCGGGCCTATAAGAAAATCAGTTGAACTTTCAGTTTCACGGTCTAAACCGGTTTGATCGGTCCAATCCTGAGTCACAGATTTATTTATTGAGTATTTATTTTGATATTGGAAGGTTTGAACAATATTGAATTTCTGGGTTTAGTAATATTGCACTTGTGCCATGGTCAATTTGTGATTCGATCGATCCGTCTGGTCATTTCGATCTGATTTTCATAACACCGTTAAATTAAACACTAACTACTAATAACATCTGAAAACCATTAAAAAGGACATTTCTCTTGCACAAATAAATAAAATAAAAAGTAATAATAAATGAAAAAATGCATAATGCAATACTAATTCTTTTGTTTTCTTTTCTTTAGTTTATTTTGAGTTGTTCGAGTTTATGTTAATAAAATCGTGCATCAAGGTTTAAAATCATGCATCTTTTCTTTAGTAATTCTCATCGTGTTTAAAGAGGTTCATGGTGACTTTGTGTCATGAATTACGTCCAAAAAGTTTGGAATTGTTCGAATTCATATTCTTTTGATAAAATTATTCTTCAAGGCCTTAAGTTGCAGATTAGAATTTTTTTTTTTTTCAAATATTCCCAATCTTATAAAAGGGAATGGAAAATGAGCGGATATAAGAGTCGAACTAAAACATTTAGATACATTATTGAATCTCAAAAACGCCTCTCATCATAAGACAGGAAACCCGCAGCGTATTGCTGTAGATAACGCCACACTGAGAAGATATTCCGTCCTTGCTCACAGTCACAGCCCCCTCGCCCAAACCAAACCCCTCTCCCAAAAAAAAAAAAAAAACCGATAATAATTTTACCCCTTGAAAATTGCCGAGAGTAGAAGAAAGCTAATAAGTAGCACGGTATACAACAATTGTGATTTTAGAAACAGTAAAGATGGATTTGTTACCGCCAGCAGCGGCAGCTTCACCAGACCTGATGAAGAAACGGAAGAGTGGCTTTCGGTCCTTGAAACTAGTCGAGGTCGACATGGACGCCGTTTTAGCGGAAGAGCCCTTCGGAGTACACTATGGCAGACTAGACAATGGCCTGACTTACTATGTCCGATCCAATCCAAAGCCTAGGATGAGAGCTGCTCTTGCCCTCGCTGTCAAGGCCGGGTTTGTTCTCTCTCTTCCCTCTGCTGCCATTTCTTCAATTTCTTGTTTGCAGTTAATTCCAGTGCAATTAATATGAATTGGGTTCTTCTGTATTTATTTTTAACGCATTGCAACTGAGAATAGAGTTTTTTCTTTTTTAAATATAGTAGAATTGTGCACACTGAGTTCTTTATAGTGGGTTGTATAGGTGTGTGTGTGTGTGCAGACTTCAGTTTTTGATAATTATGTGGAAACGGGAGGATTTTTATTTTTGGGTAAAAGCAATATGTTTTTACGTTCTCCCCTTGAATTTTTACACGTGTGTAAATATGTATGTCTGTATGTGATGAGGGAAGGGTTACCATGGATATGTGCATGTATGTTCAAAATGCTATCTTTGACACTAAAATATACGCCCGTATGTATATTCCTACAAGTTTAACTAAATAATGTCCTTTCATGGCTTAATGCATATGTATACAACCACAAGCCTTTGCCTAAACCTTTTGTATCTTTCTACAGCTATATGCAGTATTTTTGGAGCGATTTGGAAAATCAAGATTGTGGAATATGTGTACTTGTAAGTTTGTGATATATGCATGTGAAAATGCTGTCGTCTGTAGCTTATATATCCCTGTAGTAAGTAGAATACAATTTGCAAAGGGGAGAAATGTGCGTATGTAATAGTAAATAGATAACCACAGGCCTATGTTGAGACCTCTTATATGTTTTAAACAGCTATATATATTATGTAAAGAATTTCTTTTGAAAGAAAGATGGTGCAATACATGTATGCGACACAATGCTATTATTTCTTGTCTATACAGCCATATGTACTTGTGTGCTTGTATGTGCCAAAATGCTATCCTTTGTTGTCTGTACATCCATGGACAAGGATTATGCATAAGCGCAAGCCTAATGCATGACCTCTTATGTATTTCATCCAGCTAATCAGTAAGGAGAGGACAAGTTTTAAATAAAGATGGTGCAATATATGCATGTGTACCCATGTGCATTTTTCCTGGCTTTTTTTCTTTAATTTATGTCTGCTATGATGTGCTGGCGATGTGTGAAGCTAATTGAACTAGTTGACGTTTGAAAGGGGCGCATATTATTGGAATGACTGATATAGTTAGCAACCTGAGTTTCTAATTCATGGCAGCTCAGTTTTGGAAGAGGAGGAAGAGCGTGGAGTTGCTCATATTGTTGAGCATCTTGCTTTCAGTGCTACTACAAATTACACGAATCATGATATCATCAAATTTCTTGAAAGCATTGGGGCAGAATTTGGTGCCTGTCAAAATGCTGTCACATCAGCTGATGAGACTGTTTATGAGCTGTTTGTTCCCATTGACAAGCCTGGACTACTGTCTCAGGCTATTTCGGTCTTGGCAGAATTCAGTATGGAGGTGCCAACAAGATTTTTCCTGTTCTAAAATATTGTCGAAAGTGTACGGGTATTTCCTTAATTTTCTGCTTGCGATTTCCAACTTTCTTTGCTTCTATTACATAGGTCCGCGTGTCAATGGAAGATCTGGAAAAAGAAAGAGGAGCTGTCATGGAAGAGTATAGGGGGAATAGAAATGCTAATGGAAGGATGCAGGATGCCCATTGGATTCTTATGATGGAAGGTTCAAAGGTTGTTCTTCAACCCTGCTCCAGTTCTTGTCCAGCCCACCTTACTTCCCTCTTGCTTTTACAAATTGTCCTCTACTCGATACATGGAGCTATATAAAGTTCTGGTGCCTCTACAGAATTACTTAAGTGGATGAAAATAATAATTTTCCCACTGCTATTTTGATGCTTGACATTTAGCAGTTCTTTTTTTTTTGTCCCCCTGATGCTTCTTCAGTTGTACAAAATCCAAATTTGGGCAGTAAGACTAACAAAAAACATAAGAAAGTGGATGGACAAAGATGAAAATTAAAAACTACTTTTCCCTTTTCTTTTAATATTTTAATTTTGTTATTGATTCATGTTTTCAATAATCTTTAGGAATCTTTTCTTGGAAACAGGTTTTGTTAAGTTGGATTAGCCTATTCTCTCGTGTTTCATTTCAATTAATTAATGGGTGGCAATAGTTTAGGCTACTAAAGAAAAAGGAAAGAATCTTAGATCCGTGCGGCTTAACTAACTCTCTTCATTATTAATTAGAAAACATACTTGTTCATGAAGCTCAAAGGCCAAATATTTCATGTTTTGTTTATTTTTGGGGTCAGGGTTCAGGGTTCAGGGTTTGAACAATGACTTTTTATTCTCCTGCTGACTGGTTGTTTCATTTTGAAGATTAACACTTCTAATATGATTGTAGTATGCTGAGCGCTTACCCATTGGATTGGAAAAGGTAATACGTACAGTTTCACCTGAAACAGTGAAGGAGTTTTACAGAAAATGGTACCACCCGCAAAACATGTGCGTGATTGCTGTTGGAGATTTTCCTGATACACAGGTTTGAACATTTTCTGCTGTTTGATTCTGAGAGATAACCATGAAGTTGTTTGAAGTTAAGCCTTTGTGCATTGTAATTTTCTCCTCTCTTTTTCTCTTCATTGCAGGGTGTTGTTGACTTGATAAAAGCTCATTTTGGACACAAGTTTTCAGCTGCAGTCCCTCCAGTTATGCCATACTTCCCTGTTCCATGTCATGAAGAGCCACGCTTTTCATGCTTTGTGGAATCTGAAGCAGCTGGGGTCAGCTTTGCACTGCCCTTTATCCATTTGAGGATGCACTTATAAATTTCTTGTCTTCCTACTATACGTGAAAGACATCCTCTATGCATTAGTAATTTTTTTTATTTAATAATTGGTTAGATAATACATACTAATAGATTTTTTTCTCCATTTGGCTTGTTAACAGTCAGCAGTGATGATTAGTTGCAAGATGGCTGTTGAAGAGCTTAGAACTGTGAAGGATTACCGAGATTTGCTGGCAGAGTCCATGTTTTTTCATGCTTTAAACCAGAGATTTTTTAAATTATCTCGTAAGAAGGATCCACCATATTTTTCGTGCTCAGCTGCTGCAGATGTCCTTGTTCATCCCTGTAAGGCATACATAATGACTTCATCATGTAAAGAGAAGGGGACCATTGAGGCACTGAAATCAATGCTCACTGAGGTATGCCTCTTTTGTGATCTTATCTAAGTACTTATTATACATTTCAGTGATACCTTCCATTTCAGGTTGCTAGGGTTCGTATGCATGGGTTCTCTGAACGTGAGATAACTGTTGTTCGTGCTTTGCTGATGTCAGAGATTGAATCTGCATATCTGGAGCGAGATCAGATGCAATCAACCAACTTGCGAGATGAATACTTGCAGGTAGTAGTTGGTTAATCTCTCTCTCTCTCTCTGCTTGGCTTCTTCCCTATAATCTCTTATTAAAGGAAAACCCCAATGGTTCTGAAGCAATCCTTTTAAATCGCATGCCTTCACCTTTTACTTTCAGCATTTTCTTCGGAATGAACCTGTTGTTGGAATTGAGTATGAGGCTCAACTTCACAAAACTCTTTTACCCTGTGAGTATTTCTGAGTGCTTCATTTTAGGTAGCTAACAAGAACCCAAGCTTGAAACTCATTGCTCAGCCTTCTTTTTCTTTGACTAGATATTACGGCATCTGATGTATCCGGATATTCAGAGAACTTTATGACATCACATAGCTGTGTCATAAAGATAATTGAGCCTCATGCAACAGCCACAGTGGATGATTTGAAAGCTGTTGTTCTGAAGATCAATTCGCTTGAGAAAGAAGGGGGTATTTCTCTGTGGGATGATGAATACATTCCAGAAGAAATTGTTAGTACAAAGCCAAATCCAGGGTACATTTACCTTTCTGATTATCAAATATACTATGGATGAGTACGTTGTTTTAGTAATCTATCTTGTTAGGTTTTGGT